CGCTTGGTTGTGGATGACCGCATTATTGATGTCAATGAAATTCCCAAATCGTTGGAACCGTTTTTCAAGAGAATACCCAAGGTTGCTCAAACGAGCATGCTTGTCAGCGTCGTTATCCGCCGTCAGAGCTGCTGCTCTCTCGAGTCTCTGAATCGAGTCATTGATGTCTGCTATTTGTCCAAGTCGTTCAAATCGACAGCGAAGAAATACTCCCACATTATTCAGTACTCCCGGTAGGACTGGATGGCCCTCTGGAATCACTTGAGCAACCGCTTCGTATTTCGAAATTGCCTGCTCGAGACTGTCCAGGTTTCCCCGACTTTCGAAATCCCGAAATGCAGCGAATCCATCCGATGACATCCTTGCCAGATCGGCTCCCCTTGATCTACTCATTTGTTGATTCGCTTCTAGACTCGACTGCAGAGCCTTTTCTATCGTCGATATTGTTGTTTGGAGAATAATGTTGGGGTAATTCTCTTGTGATAGTAACTGTATCTCTGTCATATCAATCTATTAGATGCTTCAAACGTACCCGGATGTACTACTTACCATATTGTGTTCCGATCATGTCGTGAAGTTCAGCTGCCTCGAGTACTATGGTACCGATAAGTTGACGATCGTTCTCACCGAATCGCATGGAGAGCGATAGCTTGAAATCTCCAATGCCTTCACTTCTAATATAGGAAGCGTTTTATAGTGATTCTGGCACACTATTGTATTCAAGACTTACAAGATGAGCGGTTCATCGGCATCCCATACTCCACGCACTGATTCGCGGGAAAATAAGTTGGATTTGTCTACGATCCGTCCATTTTGATTGAGCTCCAGGACTAGATGAGCGATATCCGCTAGAAAGCAGTCATCTCTACTAGCCAGCTCGACGGTTGTCTCTGATAAAAACGGCATCAACATATGCGCTGTGGCAGAAAGTATGGTACGTCACCTTTGAATACTAGCGCACTATCAACGACATCAGAAGAGGAATGATACTGGGGCAACGGGCTCACCTCATGATATCTAAGGTTAAAGGGTGAGAGGCTCAGCTTAGATAGCGGGAAAGTGAAGACGAGGTAATAAGTATAATATACCAAAATCTGTTGAATCTCCGTGTGTTTTAACGGTACATTGTGGACATGGTGCCCACATCCACAACGCAAGTAGAGACTGGCAAGGCCAGTGTACCGGATTAGAATGTCACTAAAAGGGTGGCAGATCATCATCTCGTTCCTGACTGACTAAATAACACTCTGGAACCAAAACCATGTTCCACGCTCTTCACGTCAACGCGATGTGCACAGACGTCTCGGCATCTCCGACTGATTGGGCAGTTCTTCTGGAACAATGCTGTTATAATGCTGGTCATCTTCAAATAATTGTCGTGTTGTAGTCTACAAGAGCCAGCAGCATAACGTGGGTCGATGAGAGGAGGCTGCAGGGACCAAGGTATGATTCGTCGCCACTCTCCACTCGATCTAGTTCGAGCAAAGTCCGTGGCTCAAGAAACGGGCAGCCACACGACCTACACGTGGCTCTCGAGAATGTAAATTTATTTGGGGAATGGATATCTCCCGAAGGAGACCACCAAATCTCACCTCAGCCATTCCACAAGTCTAATATAACACGCGTGTTCGAAGCTCGTCCTTAGTCAAATATGAATAACACATTCCATAAATTAAATAAGGCTAATGGACTATAAGGTCGAAGATTTAGCATAATTATACTTTCCACCCTTCTCAAGTGCCTAGAAAATCAATCAGTACTCTGCTGTTGGGAAAGTGCTGAGCTTACTCGTCTGTACGCAGCTCTACCATGAGCCTTCTCGACCCAAGCTAATGTCTTGGGTCCTATGCGACCCCCCATAGACCTCGGCAAGATCTCCAATGGATAGAGCATCATAAAGTCGGCGGAGGTAGGCTCAGGACCGCTTGCGAACCACCCAGTCGTCGACTTGGACAGATGATCTTCGATCTAATGCAAACCATCAGCCTTAATTGTCTAGGGGGCAGCGGGCTTCCTTGACGCATGGAAAGGAATACAACGTACCATGTCCGCTGCATTCTCTATGTTCGGGTTGATGAGCAGTTGCTTCATCCGTCCCATCACCGGCTTGATTACCCATTTAATGATCCAGGGTACTCTCTCTGGGGTCAATGTGAAGATCAAATGGTTAACGAGGTGAGGCATGAGCGTGCCCTCTGCAAAGTGCGTATCTAAAAGATGGTTAGTCGCCATTTTCATCAAGGATATGGTTCGTTACTTGCAGTAGAGATTTGACAACTTGGACTCTTCAGACGGTTGGAACCGTCCTTGCGCGTACTTGTCGAGTAGGTACTCTACAAACGGGAACCGTCAGAAGGTTTGGGAAACGAGATATTGAAATAAAACGAACCAACGATGGCCCCACTTTCCGCGATGATTGCATCTCCATCTTGGATTACTGGAGACTTTCCGAGTGGGTGAATCGCTTTCAGCTCTGGCGGTGCCAAGTTGGAAGGTAGTCGTTTATATTGCTATGCCACGTAATATGTCAAGAAATAGTTGTGAAATATACGGAATTTTGGCGTACTTTGATAGTGTACGGGATTTCAAGCTCTTCCTGGAGAAAGGGATTTCGTCAAGGTGAAATCACAGGCCTTACGATGGGAACGTACTAGTAGCCAGAGAACCCTCTGGGATCTCGAATTCTCCAAGTGGTGCAGGATGAGCTGTCCAGATGGGTTTGTATTTCCTGCTGACATGTTCTCTCCGCTTCGAGGCTGTTTACTGTGTAGAATAGGGGATATTTGCTTCTAATCTTGATACTGATGTCCATGGTTTGAGAGACGACATGAGTACTTATACTTGTGCGAACACCGAAGGATCGGAGTGAGTGCGTCGGAGTTCAAGTCTGCTACAACAAAGCAACCATCTCCATATAGTACGCACCTTACGTGAGGCGGTGAGGAAGATGCCAAATAGATGACGTGTCTATCAATCGAAGACGTGTAGCTAGTTGAGCTGAGCAAAGCCCGTCAGGATAGCCGGTACAGATATCTCAAGTCCCTCAACCACGACACGACACCCTCCAATGAGACGCCTCTAATCACGCGTTTCATTCTTTGATTATTTTTTAGAATATTTTCCGCTGGAAGGAGACACGCAAGCCAGCGCAGTTGCGGCTCCGACTCGTCGGAGTTGACAACCCTCGTCAGCACTAGCCAGCTAGGGAAAATGAGCCAGTAATGACGACAATATTTGTTAAGTCCCGCCCCAAGTGAAACAGTTGTTGGAATGGAGACGAGCCAGGGAATATTCCTGTGCTGGATCGTCGTTGCATAGCGTCTAATTCCAAAGTCACCAACGACGCTCTTGTCGAATTTCCCCGCATACTCGGAATTCGAACGCAGACAGGCTCCTGGTCGACCTGAAACACGAAACAAATCGCGGACAAATTCCAGACGCACTATAAATCACTGACGGACCCATTGCTCAGACTCTACCACCTCTCGCCCAGCCTACAACTGCCCCACTCACTCTCCTTCGACCTCTCCTCGACCTTGGCACCCAACATGCGTCGCATCTTTCAAAGAATCACATCTTCTGCTCACCGTGATCGAGAAGATAACCACAATCTTTCCAGGAAAAAGGCTGAAAGGCGTCGCAGCAACCTTGCCGCCACAAACCTCGGTGTAACATCCCAAGCGCCTATCCACATCCTCAACTTGCCCTACGAAGTGCTCGAAACAATCCTCACTTATGCATGGCACGGTGATCCTACTGGCCTTCCTGGAAGTGGAATTTTCATGTTTGACGACCCGAGGGTCCTCGTCTCGTTCCCCATCTCCTCCCCCTTTCAAAACAGTGGCCCAGACGCGGCTCAAACATCTGATACAACAAACAGCAATTTTGTAAATGCCAACCCCGTCGTTTCGATGAACATCACCCTCTCTCCGAACCCGCACAACAGGCTTACTTCGTCCGTACAGGCGCTCGGTACCGGCGAGCTGGGCGTCTTTATGGGCCAGAGGACTTTTGTCAGACTTTCACTCGTCTGCTCAATGTGGAGCGAAATCATGCAAAATATCGCAAAGACATATGTCTCCCTTCCTTCCCTCCGCAAATTCGAAGCCTACTCTCGTCTGGTACGGGCTGGCCTTCCCATCGACTCTCCACAGCAAGAATTAACGCGGAAAGAGGACAAGAGGACGTCCTGGAAACCGTCAATCTCCTCCTCTTCCGACTCGAAGCGCGATTCTCTCCGTTTGGACGCGTTCGAAGCCGCGCAAAAGGCTCGACGGCTCTGTCGTGCCCTGCACGTACATATACCCACGGGAAACTTGAGCATGGTACCTTCATGGGACATGATACCCCCTCTCATCTCGCAGTTACCGGCGCTAACTCATCTTATGCTCACGGCATCAGAAGCCCACCCTGCCATCCACCACTCGCTGCTCCACAACCTCCCACAGACGATTTTAACATTAGATATCCATATCTCTACTCCATACAAGTACCAGCGGCCCGTTTTACTACACGTCAAAGCCGGCAGCAAGGGCGAATCCCAACTCGAGGGGTTGAGAAGGGGGCTCAGTGGGGTCAAGAGTTTCTTGGTCAACGTTCTCGACGTCGACCTGTTGGGAAGTCTCTTGGAAGGATTCGGTACCGCTTACGAACCAACACCCTCATCCTCTTTATTGCCAGAAGCAGAGAGCAACAAGGGCCAAGGGTATTCGTCCCCTGCCCTCCAATCCTTGACTCTTCTCGGACCCCACGACTTGACAGACCCCAACATTACAAGAACGGTCTCTCACTCTCCTAGCATCCACACTCTCAAGCTATACCCTCGCAGCAGCCGTCCAATTCCGCGATTCACTGTCGCCCCACCCGCCTCTACGGATCAGACCGCACCCTCACCCCCAACAACAGGCACTACCATCAATCCTCCAGCATCACCTTCCCAAGCAACCAGTGGAACTGGCACTGGAGGTGGTCCCGTGCGGACATTTATCAATATCGACCCATTCACGCCATGGAATGCGGTAGATGCGCTATCCAATGAGGCGTGGTTCCCTGCATTAGAAAACCTGGTCGTACAGTTGCCTCAGTTTGAAAAGACGACTCCCGAGCTGGACAGGATCAAAGCTGTCTGCGAGAAGAGGGGCGTGAGGGTCCGAGTGGAGCAGGCACAGGGAGTGACCGTACTATGAGAGCAAGATGCTCACGTAATTGACGATCAAGAGCATTGGCGCACAAGTCTTCAGAGAACAATCAGCTTTTTATACCCTAGTCAAAAGAATACAGTCTAAAGAACGAAACTGCTCCCATTATCATATATCCCAATTCTTCATGTATACCGATACCCTTGAAATATTAAAAGATATCATAATGCATATAAGCAATAACGAGAAATTTAGAAAGAGTGATCCCCTCTCCTGGTAACAAAGCTCTGTTCAAGGTGAAGATGAGAATTTGTAGTCTTGACATTGAGCATTGACATACCTCCAGGTCTTGTAAGGTTGCAACGCCTAGTACGAACTTGCGTTCCCTATCCGTCACTGATACGGTAGAGACAATCAGCATAGGGTGTTCTCGAGTGCCTTGGGCGACTGACCTATGGCAAAGACATTCGACTGCAGAAATTCTTCAAGTACCTCTAACGGTGTATCGGGTGTAATGACGGAGTATGGACGGCCTGTTTTGGATGAACGATCAAATCTCGTCGTAAGGTTGATCACTTGGTCGTCCTGTAGGAAATCACCAAATATATGAGTCAAGAGTCACCTTTTAGGGTACTAGATATATCAATACCGCATCAATTTCTCCGGCTTCCCATGCTTTCTTCAGGGCAGCGACGTCAATGTATCCCACGGGCCGTCTGTGACTGTTCAAGATCCTGGGTTAAAGGTCAATAAAATCCAACTTCTCGTAGAAAGCATTCAGAGAGCTATAGACTCACGGGATATAAGAAAAGTCCCGATCGTAAGCAAGCTCAATTGCGCTGATGACTGGGGCGTTCTTGGGCAAGGAAAAAGCAGGCGGCAATTGCAAGTCCTATCGATTGAGTATTGAATGTCATCCCCAGAGCCGAGGAATTGGACCCAGGGGTGTAATCGTATTGGTAATGGCGCAATAAATTATTGCGTAAGGCCAAACGGCGCGAAGCGATCCAATCATACCGTTCAACGCGGAGTTGGCAAAGTAGATCCAATAAGAGATCAAGAAGAGCAGTCAGTATGTATTATTAGTTATGAGTGAAGAGATGAGAACCATCACGGGTCGGATTTTAGGGTGATGAGATATAGGATTTTTGAAATAAGATAAAGACGCACTTCTACACTAGCGCCTCTGTATCGTTTAGCTCCGTATTTGCTATTAAAGCTTGAAGATGGACTGATGTTCTCGATTGAATTCGAATTTTCTGCATCCAGGAACTTTCTATTCGTCTGCTTTGGCGTGGTAGGAATCACCATCGGCTGGAACGTCATTGCGGACATTTTTTCGGCGTGAAAGTATACGAATCACCAAAATGCCTCGAATAACAGAATGGATAGTTGCTCTGGTCTCTGGAAGGTCAAAATGGTAGGGAGCAGGTTACGAAGCCTTTGGCCCCATTGTTTCTTGTCGGACAATCTGCTTTCAATCGTTCCACCATTGCTCGCCCATTTCATCACAAATCCCGAACACGGCTGAAATCGAATCGCGTCCAATCTTGGAAACAATAAATCATCGTCAATATCAAGCCCGTTATGACTTTGCATGAAATGGCTAAGCCGGAACCACCAGGAGTCCAAGGTATCGTTATGGATGGCCAGCATCTTGCTTCCTCACGGCAGCCAGACAAATTCCAAATCAAACAGCCTAGAAGTGGGTTTCTCTTGAATGTTCTGGCGCCTCATTCGGTTAGCGGAGTCTTAGATAAGAGAGGCTGGAGAAAATTGGCCAGAGCGTCAGACGCCCGACCACAGGTATTTTAAACGTTATTCATATTATGAGACAGCTTGAACTAACCTTGCTTGATTTGAAGGCCGGAATATCTGCGTCTGTCGGGGCTGAAATGTCCTAATTGTACGATGAAGCCACGACGAGTGGTGAAGGACGGTGAGGAGGCGGGACTCACATAGCAAACGAAACAGAAAGTGGCACACGACCATGTACATATATAATTAGCTCCACTCAGCTTTCGTTTATCTGACCCAACATCACACATCAGCGCGCCTTTAATCACTTCTCCCCCTGTGTCCTCATTAACCATCGCAACCCTGGCTTCCATAATCTTCAAAGATGCCACAGAAATATTCAAGAAGAAGACCAGTACGCATACTGGTATTCGGTAAGGGAGACTCTCTCTTTAGAGTAGGATACCTCAGTGATGCTATCTCGTGTCGCCATTGTAGAGAGTGGCCGAGCCACTTTATCACAACTCCTTATCCTCAAGGAGGTAATGGATAGGATCCAATTCGACCTAGGTAGAAAGGAACCTCTGCTTCCCTGTGACTTCTTTGATATGATCTCAGGCAGTGGTTTTGGAGGGTGAGAGCACATCCTTGGCCGCCCTTTGGGATTGCTAACTTATCCCATAGTCTCGTTGCAATTCTTCTCGCGAGACTTCGACTATCGGCAGAACAAGCCATCGAGAAATACCTAGACCTCACCAGTGCCTTGACATTCAAATGTGCACCACACCAAGAGGACAAACGGCGAAATACGCTTGCCCTAAAAAGAGCATTCTGCAACCTGCTTTTTGAACTCGAGGTCCCTCAAGATGCATTGCTACAAGAGGAGGACGGCTCGAAACCCCCATGCTATACGTGAGTAAACCTCTCATAAGATTCTCACCTCCGGTTAAACTCTTCATAGGTTTGTCTCTGTAGCATCCAGCGAGAATATGGGCCACACTCGTCTGTTTCGCAATTATGGAGTGAGGGCCACGCCCGAGTACAACCCAATGCTTGTACAAACTATCTTGGCATCTTGTTCATTTCCCTCCATGTTCGAGCCGGTACAGATTGGAAAGGAACCATACAAAGAAAAGTTCGTCACTGGCGCTTTAAATTGTCCAAACCCGACTCGAGAGGCTATCAATGAGTCAAGTGGACTGTTTGGAGACCAGACCCCCATGTCTGTTATCTTGAGTCTTGGTTCAGGACAAGGAAGCATTGTTAGCCTCGAATCAGCCGCGTCAGAGGAGGAAAGGCGACAACTTCTTCATTGTCTCATAACAGATTACGCCCGAGAAAGAACGCACCAAGAGCTGGAGCGTTTGATTCACTCGATGGGGATATACTTTCGCCTGAACGTGCAAAAAGGGTTAGAAGATGTAGACGAGAGGCGCGAGTCCGCGTCTAAAGTCAAGTCCAATACGACTGCATATCTGGGTGAATATTCTGTCAGTCAAGTGGTCGATGACTTGGTAAATGCGTTGCTTGGGAGAAGAGAAAGGCGTATCATCAAAGGAATTGGTAAGTACTCTTTTAGGCGCTGTCACTCATCGGACTGACAAACTTGTGATTGGCCCTCAGCTGTTGCAACTGGCTATATAAAATTCCTCATGTCGTTTCTCACCTATTATGATGGAACGGTGATTAGAGAATATAGAGAAGACGATATTTCAATAGAACAAGAGGACGAATCAGTGCATATAACAGAAAGTCTCCCTTGTTACGAAGACTACAACGAGCAATCCAGAATTGACGTTGATCAAACAAAAGACTGTACCCATATTGTGCCAAGAGAGGAGACCATAATCACCCAACAAGAGAAGGCCCCACCTTACTGGCGTTGGCTACTAGATCCTGCGGGATTTGGGTTCCCAGTACTCGTCGTGGCAGCCCTTTGGGTCGACGGAAGGCTGGGTGGAAACAACTTGTTGACAAAGAACATTTGGGCCCTGACGTAACTATTAACCAGTCATACCTTTCTAGACAGTGTATAATAGCATGTTTTCTCTCTTAGACTATGTTATTGTTTCATCTACTTATTTTTGACGAGCGCGAGAGAACTGTGTATGGTATCGGTATCCCAACCAAGTGAAAATGAATGATTATTCGTGATAGTACAGTTTATCGCGCCAACTATAATAAATAGAGGTGGTCGTGGTCATGAGCAGTGTAGACGATATAAATCAACTCGAACTTGACGAGTATTACCAATTCCACACGTCGTCCTCCTTGGGGTTGGTTTTTGAAGTTGTGACCTTGCCATTGGAAGATACGTCTGGGGGTAGTGGTGAGGCGGGTTTTGGTGAAGAGGTTATGGGTTGCATGATTTGCGTTGAGGATACACCCGTTGTCCCCAATAGATCGTCCTCGTTATCCTCATCTAGCAGAGATGCGCTAGATATCTGAGTAGAGATTTGGGGTCGCTCACTCGGCTGCACTGAGCTTTGTGATGTAAGTCGGGGTTTGGATTTGGGTATAGGTTCGTTGAGAGGTGGTGCAAATGTGTTTATGAAGGAACTCGACACATCAGACAACAAAGTCGACGCTCGTTTGGAGCTTTTTGTGAAACTGGTTTTACTCTTTAGTGATACCACATTACTATGAAGCAAGGCACTTACGTTTCTGCTTTCTGAAGCTCGTCCCACTTCTTGTTTAATGTGCTCGGGCTAGGTAAGCCAATACCATCCAGCCCAGACCACGCAGCGGTCCAGCTTGTTGATGGTATAAATGGCCCAGCTACTGGAGGTATCGAATCGGATATAGGCGGTGTCCCTTTACGTTGCGATGCCTCTGGGTTGTTCGAAAGCTCGACGAGGAGTGATCTTCTCCTCAATGCTTGACCTGTAGGGCTGGTTATAGAAGAAATAGCGCCTGACCCATCTTCACTTCGCCTCATCATTTCTGCTGTTTTATCAGAGATCTCCCGGATTCGAGGGTCCCCTTCGCTTGTAATGGTGTGTCCGCCCAAAGAGGAGTTTGAGGACATTGAGTATCTAGATTGAGCAAATGAAGATGCCGAAGATTGATTAGATGAGGTGTATGCATGACAGTGGATCCTCTTTCTCTCGAGAATCGCATCAGCTGCTGGAGTGGATGTGGTATCTGTAAAGGGGGCGGAGTTCGCGATACTAATAGAGTGTCGTTTCTCCGATGTAGATTCCAAAGCCTCTAAAGCAGCTGCCAAAGGAGCCGTGACGTTTCCGAACAACTTGCTTACTCCCTCCCGGATCACAGCAGCACTCGCCCGAGTTAAGCTTGAAGGTTGCGATGCGTTGAATACTTTCATTCGTGGATTGGCCTCTTGTACGATATTTGTCCACCGTGTTTTAAGAGCTTTCAGCTCGGCCTCTTGTTGTGAGAGTTGGCTGCGCAGTTCCAAGCATTTGGCTTCCTTTTGGGCAATAGATTGCAGAAGCTCGACATGTCTAATTGAAGGCCATCAATAGAGTCTCATTGAGTTCTGAAACAACAAATACGTACTGTTCTACCAAGGTAAGAACGCTATTAGCCTCCATTACAGTTTCTGGTCCGAACTCGGACAAGGTTTCCCGCTCATCCGCTGAATGTTCACGTGGATACGCGCTGTTGGGCTGGTCTCGATCACTACTTGTAGATGGGTTAACATCGCTGGGTGTACTCGGCTCGCTGATACCGGGATGTATGATTGTACGCTTTGTGTGTCTGTTAAGCCGAGAGCTTTCCACGTTATACCGATTAGATGATATCCCAGATGCAGAATTAGACCTTGAGAGACTTGATTCTAGGGTTTGGGAGGCTCTGGACGGACTATTTGTTTGGTTGTCATAGGTGTCGTGGCCATCATTACTTCTGTCTTGAATGAACGATCGAGAACCGAGAGGAGTTGAAGGTGACCGTGAGCCGTTGGTATAAGAGAGCGTAGAATATCGCTTTTGATGTCGCTGAAGTGCTGGATTCACGGCCGCAGCAGATGCGAGAGGCGACTCGGGTGCCCTTTCGTCCGGTTTATTTTCCTCAGGACTACGGCTGAAACGGTCGTCATTAGCGGCATCAGCAAGCTTGGCATTCAGATTCGTCGAAGAGGAATTATTAGATGATAACTGAGAACGCAGTTGAAGTGGTCGTTGGGTGAGTGAAAGTGGACGTAAGTTTCCGACTGGAGGACCTGCACTCGGATTGGTGGACATGGCCAGGTCCAACCTAGTGTTGAACGTCGTTGTATATCTCGTGAACGTACTCGTCTGACCTTTTCGCTTTACTTTCAAAAGGATAAAGATTCCTTATTCAGCACCACATACGCAAACTTTTGACAGGACGAAATGCACTGGCAAACCCGAGTCAAGCACTACTCTATAACCGGTCCGTACTCAGAGCGTTCTACTTTTTCTTAGCATCTTCTTTCTCGGCTTCGGCAATGAAATTTCTGATGCTGGACATACCATTACTGCCA